TTCATGACTCAAAACTAGGAAGGTTGTTCTTACCTCTCCGCAAGGACAGATCAGTTAGCGGAGTTCAGATTTAAATTGGGGAGGGGGGGGGAGAGGAACACAGGGGGTACTGTAAACAAGAAAAGGATGAAAACTGGAACCCCAAAAGAGATAAACCATGGAGTTAAGTTGGTCTCAAGAGAGTCTAGATCTTTGAGCATGGAAAGGGTCATGACATGGGAAGAAATTTAATCTTTATTTCCCACCCCTGGCAGAAAAGGACATATCTAAAATACCAGCAGAAACCTTTAACTTTAAATTGCAATAAAAATTCCTAACAGTAAAAAGTATTGATGTCACCGAGTTTTGAGTAAATGCTCCCTCTTCAGAATGATATGGACTAAGAGAGACCTCGACCAGTACAGTTGGTTTATAGCCAACTCTGTCTAGCAGCAAAGGGGAAGGACGGAATACACTTTTAAGGCCTTTGCTAGCTCTGAATTTTGAGTAACAAGAAGGGCCTCCTTTGGTGGTAAGAACATAGAAGGAAACAGCGTACGTACACCAGCCAAGTCAGATATCAGCAAGTGCTTTTCTACTGTTAAGTGCAAAAAGATGGCGACTCTGACTGAAGAGTAGCCCTTACCCAAAATATGGCTTGATCTTTGAGAAACCTACCAGGGATTCTAGGTCATAAATTCTGTAGAGTTGGGCTTACCACAATTAATAACCCTACTTCCTAAAATCTAATCATTTGAAATTACAGCCTGATTTTTCTATCACTGTTTTCAACCATGCCATTTTCCTCATCAAATCTAGATCCCTCCCCGACCCCATCAGTTTTTTCGGAGTTTGACTGGTTCCAAGGTTTCTATCAGACTGTCCCCCCAACCTCCCACTCCTAACTACCCCAGCTGCCCCTCGTGTCCTCGCCAACTAAACCTCTTGGCATCATTTTCCTCAACCCCACTGCTGCCTCCACATCAGCCTCCACCCACCATGTCTGCAAGCCCCCCACTTCCACCTGCCACTCTCTCTCCCTCCCCCCAGTCCTCTCCTTGCCTCAAGAGCTCACCTCTCCCAGGGAGCCCTCCTTAATCAAGACGCAGGACTCCTGGGACTACAAGACACCACCTAACCTTGGTGTCTAAGGCATCCCCAATTTTTAGAACAGGAATTACCTTTTAGGAACAAGAGGAAATCCCTTTATAACCAAGTAGGGGTGACGGTGGTGGCAGAGCACATTTTCTAAGAGGTATGACAATGCAAAGACAAGACAGCATTTCCACAAGTCACCCTTTCTCAAGATTGAAGTCTTTTATTCTAATTCCCTCAGATCCTAAGAGTTTCCTTTTCATGTGCAACCCCCAGGTAAGCATGCATATTTACATGAGTCAAAAAATTTGAGCAAATATTTCCAACAAAGCATATTTTACTTAGATATGTCGAATGCTGAAAGAATTGGAGAATCATTCAGCTACTGGAGGCAATTTGTGCAGATTCTGAAGTTACTGCTACATACAACTTTGCTTCTAACAGAAATGGGATAACCATGACTCCATGTGTGGCTTATTTTGTAGAAAGGTTCGAGGATCAAGTTTCAGATGTGGTGGGGTTACTCACCCTCCTATGTAGTGAGTCCCATATATGAACTGCTTTACTTTTGTTTTAAAAGTTGCTTTTTTTTTTAAATATTCTTTTTTTTTAAGATTTTTTAAAAAAGATTTTATTTATTTATTTGAGAGAGAGAGAGAATGAGAGATAGAGAGCATGAGAGGGAAGGGGTGGGAGGGAGAAGCAGACTTCCTGCTGGGCAGGGAGCCCGATGTGGGACTCGATCCTGGGACTCCAGGATCATGACCTGAGCTGAAGGCAGTCGCTTAACCAACTGAGCCACCCAGGCACCCTTTTTTAAGATTTTTATTTGTCAGAGAGAGAGAGAGAGCACAAGCAGGGGAGCAGTAGATGGAGAAGGAGAAGCAGGCTCCTCACTGAGCAAGGAGCCCGATGTGGGACTCGATCCCAGGACCCCGGGATCATGACCTGAGCCGAAGGCAGACGCTTAACGACCGAGCCACCCAGGTGTCCCTAAAAGTTGCTTTTATTGCAGGCTAGCCTGTCACCACTGAGAAATTAGGGTTCAGGTCTCAATCCAAGCAAAGCCGAGGTTAGCTGTGTCATCTCCATCCTCAGGGGCCTGGTATCCTGGGAAACCCAGGGTAAGAACAGGGTGACCCCAGGACACACATGTTAGCAGAGACAGTGCAGCGTGATGAGGCGGGCACTCAACACCCTAAGTGTGCTTTAGTTACCAGAATACTTGACACACCCACAAATTAGGTAGCAAAACATTTTAATCCATTAATTCTAAAAATAACAGAGACATTTTATATCCGGTGCCACCTCCTCAAGAGTCTACTGCAGATTAGACAGTCAAGTACAAAGCCAGACATTAAAAGGGAAAGATGTAGTTTGGGACAAGACCATCACGGGGAGATTTTTCCTCCCATTTGCTCATAAACGTTAAGTCATCAGCTTAAAAAAATCCTCAGAAGGAAAGAGAAAGCTTTCTCATGCTCTATAACCTTTCTCTTTATTTTAGATCTTTCTGTAATGTTTGAAGGCAAAACAGATAATCAGAAAACCAGCCTCCCAAGTACAAAGATCTGAGCTGGACTCCCAGGACTACAGACTGCTTCAGTTCTATTTCTACCGACACTCTGATGTGAGGTACTATGGTTCTTGTTTTAGTTACAAGAGGTGTTGGGAATAAAGGCCCACTCACATTTAATAATAGCTTATCTAGCACATAACTTTGCAGCACAACACCAACAACAGGAGTGTTTTAAAGCAGGGTGGAAAAGAAAGTAGATATTAATACAACGTAAGGTTCCCTTTGTCCTTCCTCTCTTTTTACAATGAGAACTCAGCTCAGCAATGAAACTCTCCAGAATGCCCGTGCTGTCCTTTGGCCTACCACATTCCAAATTTGTGATTTCTGATCCGAAGCCCTCAGAGCCTCAGGCTTTAGTGATGTATCCTTCTCGGATGAGGAAATCATAGATTTTCCGGGTTTTGTTCACATCTATCTTGATGAGTGCTCTTGCCTGCGCCAGTCTCAAGCCTCCTTGCTTGTTACATTCGTTCAATAGAGCAGATTTGTATTCTAAATAGGCTCCTGGGACCAACCTCACCATCTGACAGAGCTGCAAGACATGGCAAATTTAATAAACATTAACATCTGTCATTCTCATAATTTAATCCTGTAGGTATAGCCAAAATAAAATTTAAAAAGTGACATCAACCTCCAACTATTTATAGGAGCTGCTGGGTGGCTGGACCACATTCCATTTAGTCTCTTCCTTGGACGACAGACACTTAGGAAGAGAAAGCCAGAGTCTGATGCTGGGAGAGACTTTAGCACCTGTCAGCAGGCTCACCTGGGTCTGTCAAGGAGCACAAGTATGTGTCCTGAGGAGCAGCCTGGGTCCACATAGCTCTTGGTCCAGCACATTTCAACACAGCCAGTTGGGGAAGAGCCACAGGACACAGTAGGGGCGGGGGTGCAGATACTTGGATTTCCAAGTGTGAATCACATTATTTTTAGTATCGGCATAAAGCAGTCAACCCTGCTTTTGTGATTACATTTCCTACTTTGAAGGAGGAGAAGATACAGACCTTGCAAAGAGGCTACTTCAGCTGCTTAAAAATCTAGAAGGCTGGCTCAGTCCCGGTTCACCTGCCATGGCAGCCCAGGGCAATGAGCAGTGTGAGGTCACTGCTTGTGGGTAAGGATAAAAACTGCTTGAAACTCCCGGCCATTCAATACTTGACTCAGAAAGGCCTGTGACCTCCTTCAGCAATACTGAAATAGAACATACACTCCTCTCTATTCCCAAACTAATCTTTACTGTTCCTGGTGGCTGAAACCAAAGACTAACAGCCCCCACTCCATGACTCCCCTTACTGTCTGACCTGAATTAATGATATGGAGTGGCAGATGGGGAGACTGATCTTGGGAACTGTAAAAGGAGCACATGAGGAACAGAAGAGCGTTCCTCTTTTGGAATGGACTTCAGGGCTAGGCACATTTTTTGGAAAATGCTTGAGGATGACTCCTTTGAGGCTGGCTTTAAATTTCTGAGACAGCCAAAAGTAGTATGAAGACAAGTCTGATGATTTTAGTGGAAAAGAAAAGTAGGTCATGGCATTTTTAATCAAAATTAGTATATGTGATGATGAAGTTCCTTACTTATGGCTTACATACATGCTCTGGAGACAATCTTTTAAGTGATGGTTATACTGTTGGGATAAATGTAGAGCTCATCAAAGTGACCATTCTAATAGGAAATAACCATTTTCATATACAAGTTATTTTGGGTTTATAAACAATATCAATCACATGAAGCATTTAGTACAGTGTCTGGTACGTAGTAATGCTCAATGAACGATGGCGGCCATTATCTAGATTTCTATGTCATAATCAACCCTACCCTGGCTCCTCTAGCTCCCCTCCTCTTTGTTACCTCCTTTTCTCTTTCATTCAGCTTCTCTGTGCCAGGGAGGCCAGTGAGGTTCAAGGGCGGTGCACTTCGTCTACCTACAGACACAGAAAAAGGTATGTGTTTCAGAGGAGTGACAATTCCTCAGGTGTGAAGTAACACAGCCCACTGCAACCAGGCCAGTGAGGTACAAGGTCACAAGGTCCGGCTCTAAGAAATCTCTACCCATCACCTCAGGCCTCAGTCTAGTTGGCAACGTGGGCACCCCAATGTTCGCCTGAAAATACAAGTGCTAATTCACGTGCCCTTTGCTCTGCTAAAATACACAATCACATACACCCTAGCAACCCAGTTGCTACTCTTTCCAACCCAGTAAGATTCTAAACTCTAAAGCCCAGATGTCACCCAGTGAAGAACAGTCATACGCTGCCCGCCCCGACGGCTGATGAATGGGAATAACAGCTCCACAGGAGAGACCCTTCCCAGCCCTCAGGACTCTGCCAGGAGCGCAAGGCAAACACGGTAATTAACCAAGTACCATTTGCTTTTGGATCAAAGGCAGACTGTTAGGCCAGCAAAAGGCCTTTCTTATTTATTATGTGAGGGAATATCTGTTCCTTCCAAAGAAGCCCTGTTTACCTGAAAGATCCACACAGAGGAACAATGAGCCATTATATGGCAACCAGAAGCTGAGGTGAACTCACATACTGAGAGAGAAACCCAAGTATGAGGTCACTGCCCAGGATGGTAAGTTTCATGTGTAAAATTTTTTGCTTTTGTTTTGAATATATATTTGGGTTAGTGTTCAGGTGGGAGATAGGTGGGCTGAGTTAGGCAAAAGAAAATGTAGAATAATGTATTAACCAAGTTTTATGGGGGCTGCCTTTAAGGAGGTGGAGAGAAATAGGGAGGGAGTGTTACAGGCTGCTCTGAGAGAAAACAGGCTTCTCTGTAGTATCAACAAGGGAATAAAAGCTTCTCCATAACCAGTAGGGCTAGCCTTCCCCTAAGTGCTCAAAAAGGGAGACTAAAATCATCTGGTACCTCACCAAAGTTACCAGAGGCTAGGTTGTAATTAATGATCCAGGCTTTCTACTTTGTACTGCCTTAGGAGCAACGGAGAGCATGAAGAGGAACAAGGGGTCTCCTCAACCTAAATACAGGGGGTGAGAAAGGCTAACACCAGCCTAGGAAGCAACAAAGAATAAATGAGTACGGATGGTTCCAAAAATGCAAACACCAAATTATTAATTATCATAAAAATTGTATTTTTCTTATTTGTATTTCTGTATTTAGATTCGGGGGGCAGGGTTAGAAGTAAGAAATTTGTAAAATAAAATTTGGATTTATCTGTCGTGACTACTCTCTAAAAGACTCTCTTTTCTCTTTTAAGTATTAAGAAATAATCACCTGAAACAAAGGAATCAATTTTTTAAAAAATATCCCTAGAGTAACCATCTCTGAGCCCTGTCTAGATCCTGAATCTGAGAGATTTTAAATGGGATCACAAGGTCTATTGTTTCAAGCTTCCAAAGAATGGTAAAACTGCAACTGGGTCATCTTTTTCACTAGTCCTGTCTCTACAGGGGAGTGGTCTGTATGTTCTGATACAGGAAAGTGGCTAATATAGCATATGGAGCAGGGGTGAATAATAACCAAGAGAACTGGCAAAAAAAACCACAACACTACAATTTTGGATCAGAGCTCTAGAAATCATACCACCCCAAAGTACGGATTACCAGATAACATCTGGCTTTAAGCTTGCTCTGAAAACTAACCTCAAAATAGAGGACATACCCAAAGAGATAAAGATAACAAACAGAAATACCTCAAGTCTCCAACTTATAAAGAAATCCTTGCGTTTCTGCTCAGGATACAAATCCTTTAATTGATCCCCTGTGAGACAAATCTCAAAGTTTGTGGTAGATACAACCACAGTAAACTAACTGCTCATGAACATTGGTAAAATACAAAAAACACCTCTCTGGAGCTCTTTCTTCCCTGTCTCTGTACTCAAACCCTGAAGATAATCCCTATCTGGCCTTGAAGATTCTGAAAACTTGCTGATGTTTATAAACTGGGATAACACTTACTTACCTGATCTGCCTAAGGACCCTGCTTCCACAAGGGGTAAGGGACTACTGGGTGAATCCCTAGAACGAAAACTTCACAATCAAGACATGCTCCAGCCTGAAAAAAATTACCTGAATTTGAAGTCATCGGAATAGAAGGGCTCAGGCCAGAATCACTAAAACAAAGAAGAGGAATTTAACTTAAGTCACACCAAAGAAGGCAATTTCCAAAAGCCCACGTGGGACTAGGTGCCATTTATCAGGTTGGTTACTTTATTTATTTAAAAAATATATATATTTTTTATTTGAGGGATGTCTGGGTGGCTCAGTTAAGCAGCTGCCTTCGCTCAGGTCATGATTCCAGGGTCCTGGGATCAAGGCCCACTTCGGGTTCCCTGCTCAGCGGGGAGTCTGCTTCTCCCTCTCCATCTGCCTGCAGCTCTCTCTCTGACAAATAAATAAATAAAATCTTAGGGGAAAAAAAAGATTTTTTTATTTGAGAGAGAGTGCAAGAAAGAGCATGAGCAGCGGGAGAGGCAGATGGAGAGGGACAGGCAGACTCCCTGCAGAGCAAGGAGTCCAATGCGGGGCTTGATCCTAGGACCCTGGGATCGTGACCTGAGCTGAAGGCAGATGCTTAACCAACTGAGCCACCCAGGTGCCCCAGGTTGGTTACTTTAAAGGGATGCAGAGAGAGATGGTACTGTTTTACAGGATATCCCACTATACTAACCAGGAAGGGTGATCTGTTCTGTGGGGTGTAAGAAATCGCCTAGAATTGGGCACCTGGGTGGCTCAGTCGGCTAACTGCCTGCCTTTGGCTCAGGTCATGATCCTGGGGTCCTGGGATCGAGCCCTGCGTCAGGCTCCCTGCTCGGCAGAGAGCCTGCTTCTCCCTCTACCTCTGTCTGCCGCTCTGCCTACTTGTGCTATCTCTGTTAAATAAATAAATAAAAATCTTTAAAAAAAAAAACTGCCTGGATTTGTTAAGAAGAGCTCTTAGTCTGGAACATCATGGAGACTAATCATGGGGAAATGACAGGGACATGATTCGCCAATGAAATCAATCCATTAGATAATGGGGTGGAAAGAGGAGGCATGGTGGGGCGATTTACTAATTTTTAAAAAGAAGATCAAAGTAGCAAAGTAGGCCTCTACGGGCCGGCTATATTTCTCAAAACTATCAGTATCGCAGTGTTTCTGAGACAGACTGCTAAGATTAGAATTCTGAGTTTTTCTAGCTACCCAATTATTACGACTCTGCCATGTGGGTGGGGTCCCCATGGAAATGTCTGAAACTACCTGTAAAAGCCAAAGCATCCAAGAAGACGCCCCTCCTCCCTGGACTAATTACCCACATGTCAGCCTGCCGCCGGAGCCACTGATGGCAAGCACTGCTGTCCTGGATGTACTGTAGGACTTCCGAGAGCATGGTGCGTTTAAGGCGCTCCTCCTCTCGCGTCTTCTTGAGGTGGTCATAGGTTCTGGCACCTGAAGGTGATGAAAACAGCAGGACTGCGATGACAACGCAGCAGAACTAACTGAAAGGCTTCCTCACTGACCAGCAGTTTGCTGCTTTTTGGTTTCTTTTGCAAAACTGCTTCTGGGGCGCCCAGGTGGCTCAGTCGGTGAAGTGTCTGATTCTCGGTTTTGGCTCTGGTCATGATCTCAGGGTCGTGGGATGGAGCCCTGTGTGGGGCTCCGTGCTCAGTGGAGAGTCTGCTTGAGATTCTCTCCCTTTCCCTTAGCGCCTCCCACTCTCTCTCTAAAATAAATAAATTTTTAATAAAACACAAACTGCTTCCACAATTATTTTTTTAAAAGATTTTATTTATTTTTTAAAGATTTATTTATTTGAGACAGTGAGTGAGCAAGAGAGAGCATGAGCAGGGGGAGAGACAGGCAGAGGGAGAAGCAGGCTCCCTGCTGAGCAAGGAGCCCCAAGCGGGGCTCCATCCCAGGACTCCGGGATCACAACCCAAGCCGAAGGCAGACACTTAACCAACTGAGCCACCCAGGCGCCGCTATTTATTTATTTTTTTAAGAGATTTATTTACTTGAGAGAAAGAGAAAGAGAGAGAGAGAGTGAGCAAGCACGAGCAGGGAGAGGTGCAGAGGGAGAGAATCTCAAGCAGACACCAGGCTGAGTGCAGAGCCCCACGCCAGGCTTGATCCCAAGACCATAAAATCATGATCTGAGCTGAAACCAAGAGTCAGACATTTAACCAACTGAACCACCCAGGTGCCCCTATTTATTTATTTTAGAGAGAGATCACGGGCAGGGGAAGAAACAGGGGGAAGGAGAAAGAATCTCAAGCAGATTCTGTGCTGAGTGGGGAGCCTGACACAGGGCTCAATCTCACGACCCTGAGATCATGACCCGAGTCAAAACCAAAAGTTGGACACTCAACTGACTCAGCCACTGAGGCGCTCCCCAAAATTATTTTTTTAAGAGCAACGTGATTCCCTTAGTTTGAAATCCCTTTTTTGACAAGAAATAATTAAATTTTTATTCTCTTCCTAGCTTTAAGAAATTTGGAGGCAAAAACCCCCAAACAGAAAAATACAAAGAAAGTAAGAGTCACTTATGTTTCCACCCCCCAAAAGTAACTAACTTTTAATATGGTCATGTTTTTCAAAGTTACACAAGTCCTATATGCATACACTCTTCTTTTAAAAACCAATTAAAATTACAAATAAAAATAAGTCCTCATTGACAGCACGATTCCTTTCCCAGATGCAATCAGTATCAGGTAAGCAAAACCTGGTATCAGCCTCTTATTAAACAAAGGTTGCATGGTGTTTTCTACATGTTAACAAAGGTGTACAGATTCCAAAGTAACCAAACCAGTGAGGTTTTAAGCCATGTTCCATAAAGCCCCAGGAGCCCATGAAAATATCTCAGGGGTTACTGTGAAGAACAAAGACACTACCATGTACAGGTGGTCTTGGGTTCTGTACATGACCTGCACCATCAGGCTTCAAAGTAGTCCCACTTTCCTCTTATTTATAGATTAGGGCTCTACATAAAATTTCATTTTGAATTGGTTTCTATTGTTTAAAATAAAGAACCATTACAGTAGGCTGAACTTACACCCCACAAGGCTACTTCTCATGGGTAGTGGGTGATAGCTTTCAAGCAACAGGAAGGAGGGAATGCTAAAGATCTAAAAAAACATGGGGTGCCTGGGTGGCTCAGTCTGTTGGGCATCTGTCTTTGGCCCAGGTCATGATCCCACGGTCCTGGGATTGAGCCCCACATCAGGTTCCCTGCTCAGCGGGAAGCCTGCTTCTCCCTCTACCACTCCCCCTGCTTGTATTTCCTCTCTCACTGTCTCTCTCTCTGTCAAATAAATAAAAATCTTAAAAAAAAAAAAGATCTAACAAAACAAGAGAAACTGCCATTTATTGAGCATTTACTGTGGGCCAGTTACTGTGCTGTTTTCATGCATTATCTCTAATTTAATCTTACTAACTCTTAGACTTGGAAAATTGAAACCCAAACAAAATTACAAATCTGATGAACAGGAGAGCCAGAACCCAAAGCCAACCTGTCCAATTCTAGACCTCAAGCTCTTTAACTACTGTAACACACTGCCTTCCCTTACGACCTGGCTCTATTACAAGTATCTCTTTAACCATTTCAAACCTTAGTTTCTTCATTACATGGAAATAACAATGCCTATCTCCTGTTTGTTATGAGAATCACATGATAACATCCAGGTGAAATACTTAGCACAGGGCCTGGTGTATGGTAAACAGCTGCTATTTAGATGTTAGCTGCTATTAATATAATTATTATTACTACCTTAAGTAACTGGGATGCAAGCACATAGAGCCATTTGAAGCTTGGTTAATACAAATGATCAGACCATGCATCACAAAATATTAAAAGGCTGAGGCTAAAAATTAGAATACAAAATCCTTTTTTCTTTTTTAAAGGCCACAGCAGATTCCCAAATCTAAAGCAGCACCTCTCTTTTGTGTAGTCACTTTTATTTTACCTGAGATAATCCATACAATGGAATTTATAAGGATTGAGACTTTACTGGAAAGATCAAAAACTCACTCCAAAAAAGGAAAGCTCGTTTAAAAAAAAATCCACATGGCCTCAAACAGAGACTTCCTCTATGTGTTTAGAAGACACTTGCCCCTGATACAATGTGTAGCTTAAGCATACTTACTACAAAAATTGGTAATGCCTGCTGTCCTGTATTCCTGGAGCCTCTTGATTTCCCTTCGGAGTTCAAATTCCACTGTTTATGCCAAGAAGAATGAAGGAGAAAAGTTGGAAAAACAAAATCATCATCAATGAGCACTTTTGCTATTGAATATTTTCAGTAATTCTGCTTTATATACGAGACCGGGCAATTCCGTTTGCGGGATCCTATACATTGGTGACATCTCATTAGAAATTTTACCCACAAGCTGAGGAAAGCCTATGCTAGTCATCTTTTGGCTGCCATGGCCAACTGGAAAATGCAGCTGGAACTGTCCCCCAGAAAACATACAGTGAACCGGCTGAGTTCATTTAGCTACAGAAGGAACAAATACAATTTCTTTAAACAACTAAGTTTCCCCGCTCTATTTATCCTCTATTAACAGGTCTATCCACATAACCAAATTCTTTTATAAAACCTGTCTCTGCTATTACTTGATGTGGCCCTTTTGCAAGCAAAAGACAAAAGCTCTGTGCTCAAGTCCCAGATAGTTTCTTTACAGCTTTTCTCCTATAGGAACAAAAGAGCATTGTTTTCCATAAACCAAAGATTTCTGCCTCCTCTGAGTGCACAGCTCAGATTGCAACTGCTTGGGTTATTACATGATAAAACATTCATATCTGAGTGCTTTGAAAGAGAGCATGATGAAGGAAGAGCCTGAACAATCCATGGGGTGTAATTCTTTGGAATGACACATAAACCAGGGATGGCACAAACTGGGACAGGAAGTAAAAGACAGTCACCCAGTACAAACCACACAAAGAATGCCAACCAAACAGGGTGCTTGACGAGGACAACCAACCTGGCCCAGATAAATGCCTGCAATGCCATGTAGTAAATATCTGCATGATGAGAACAGGCTAAGATGCTTGGTAAAGCATTTTCCCAGAACTAAATTTGAGGGTCAAATACATAAATCTAGCGATGAAAGGTGTAGCGTAAGCCACCCAGTCCAGATTACTATAAAGTGTAGGCCTCACTGCCTTAACAACTTCAATTTTTTTATTGTGAAAAATCAAATGGTAATTGGGTAGAGTCTCTCAGAAAGACAGGCAAAAGAATGGTGGAAGTACTGGGGAGCCTGGCTGGCTCGGTCCATACAGCACGGACTCTTGATCTTGGGGTTGTGAGTTCGAGCCCCACACTGGGCACAGAGATTACTTAAGGAAATAAAAAAGCCATGTAATTTTTTTAGGTAAAAAAAAAAAAAAGAGAGAGAGAGAATGATGAGGGAGCCTGGGTGGCTCAGTTGGTTGGGAGTCTGCCTTCGGCTCTGGTCATAACCTCAGGGTCCTGGGATCGAGCCCCGCGTCAGGCTCCCTGATCAGCGAGGAGTCTGCTTCTCCCTCTCCCCCTGCTTGTGCGCTCTCTCACTCTCTCAAATGAATACATAAAATCTTAAAATAAAATAAAATAAAAACTTAAGAAAAGAGAGAATGATGGAGGTACTATCTCCATGAATCATCCAACTCTGTCCCCATTTTAAAAACTAGTTTTAATACTAAAATATTTGTGAACAAAATGATCTGATGTCTGTGATTTGCTTCAAAATAATCCAGTTGAGGGTGAGAGAAGAGGGGGTGATAAAAATGAAGCTGGACTGGCCATGTGTTAATTGCTGAAGCTGGGTGATGGGTACATGGGGGTTCATTACACTATTATCTCTATCTTTGTATATATTTGAAAACTCCCATAATAAAAAGTGGGGGGAGAAACTACTAAACTACTGCTTAGCTGGGAAAAAAGAAAGCTACCAGCCTTTTTAACCTCTTCTGTCCCACCCCCAAGGTCCCAAATTTAGTTCATGGTAATAAAGGGGAAGAAAAGATAAAAATATCCATTTATTTATTTATAGAACTTTACCTAAAACATACCATTTCTCTCCTATTTATATCAACACACACACACACACTTGCGCAAGGCTTGAAAAGCACCTACGTGCGTGGCTTTCAATGAACTTGTCGTGCTCCATTGGCCCCACTATCCTTGCAAATCGCCTCATTGTTTCGTAAAGGTCTTGGACTTCCTTGGGATACCGCCGTTCCATTACTACAGAGAACATAAAAAACAACCATGCCATAGAGAATATAAGAATCTCTAAGTTCTCTGCATTTCTTTTACAAGAAGTGAGATGGAAGGACACTATTCCTAACCTCACATGACTAATTTACCCATGACAGGAAGCAAACAGGAAAGCCAAGAATGCAAAACACTAATCATAAAGATAAGAACATCCCAGTGACTATCACACAGGGATGTTGTTATCCCTGGAGAACTGAAGACCGTCTGCATCACTGAGCGCCTGGTGACCTCCACACCTCAGGCTCTTCATCTGTACAGATGCAGGGACTGTTGCCAGTAACGGGAAAGATGATTAAAGGCATATCACTGTATTCTTAGGAACAATGTTGGGCAAAATTTCTGGTATTAACTTCCGTAGGAAAACAAGGAAAGTACAGATACAATAATCCATCTAGAAGAGGTGGACTAGCCTAGAAAAAAAGTGTGCTATCTTTCATGCCCCACCAGAAATCTCCCTACCAACACGGCCTCCAGTGAGGTGTTTATTTCTTCACTCTCTATTTGGGTCATTTTGCCTTCCTCTAAACTAAGTACCACAACTAAATTTACTACTAATGAAGTTATATTTTGATAACTATCATCCACGTAAATGGTATATACACAGGGTAGCCACAGTCAGTAACTCTGAGGATCACTAACGACCAAATTTCTAATAAAAAGTGGTATCGGCAAAGAAGATGGGGAGTAAAACCTACCAACAGTACGTGGTAGGTTGGAGTAGCCAGAAGTGCTACTTGGTCATTTCAATCAGATGAACTAGGCTGAAACTAGGTGATTAGATGAGCTAATCAGGAACTAAGCTAGTTCTGCTCACTTTTGGACTACAAGCTTTCTATCATGACAGTTATTTAAATTAAGTCCTTTCCTCAGCTGAACCTCTTCCCTTGAGGGAGACAGTCTTATCCATAAATTCCAGGCGCTGATTTGATGGGCAGCCACAGACTATTTTAACTACCAAACCCTCCCCCGCCAAAACCAAAAGCAAAAAAACACCCTACAGGGATAATATGGAAGAATTAGGAGTAAAAACTTTAAATTTGATGAAAAAACCCCTCTGCCTACAATATTAAGGTCACTTACACTCACTATAATGGCAATTGAGACCTCTGAAACCAACAAAGCCTCCTCTCAGCTTCTAAACGTACAAAATAATTAAAAGAATAATCAGGCTAAACTGACCTCTGTTTACCAGCTGAGAATAGAGTTTATATGAGAGTCAAGGTCTATTGACCTTGGTCAAACCCCTACTGACCTATTATTGAAAGCCCAGGCATTCAGACATAGGAAGCCACTATTGTAGCTACTAGAATATGACCAATAATTGTCTATAGAAAGGGCAATGGAAATCTGATCCTGAGTTATTTTGCAAACCCACAGTCCTCAATGAAGGATGAAGTTAAACAGGCAATCTCATCCATTGCTAGAAGGAATGTAAGTTGGTACAACCATCTTTTGGAAAAGAATCTGGCAGCGCAGGTCAAGCATTTTTAATGATCACATTTTTTGACCTATTACCTCCATTTCTGGGAATCTACCTTAAAGAAAATTCTACATATATATAAAGCTTTATTCACAAATTCATCATAGGATTATTTATAATGATTCAAAAAACTGAAAATAAGCTAAATAACAAAAGTTTAGCATGTTATATACTTATATATACACACAACATATTACATAACTATTAAGAGGGACATCTTCAAAACACCTCCATCACTTGAAAAAGTGTAACAGAAAGTGGAAAAAAAAATGTAACATACTTATATGATCACAACTATATTAAAAAACATTTAACCCATGACTGGCTGACCTGAACCCTACAATGGCACAGAGTGTCAAGCCCTCTAAGATTCTATCAACTAGGATAAGAAGCACAATAATCGTTAGGAACTTCTACAAAAAGGACTACTGTGACATGCAAGTATTCTAACATTTCTATATAAATATTATAATCATTATGAGTCATCATTCTTATTTGCTGAACAAACTCTACAGTGTAGAAGAAAAAGTACAGAGACTTTCTGCTCAGCCTAGGTATCTCCAATATTTAGAACAGTAGGTCAAAGCGTGCATTCACTTAGAAGTCATTATAGTTTTACTATCACCATCATACAATGCTAGATGCCTGTTTGTCCACTACTATGCAAAATAATGGTTGCTTTTCCCATAAAAATGTTTAACAACCCAATGATCAAGGTTAACATATAGTTCCTACCCAGTTCCAGAAAATGACCTATTAATATTCATGCTGTAGTTACCATACTACTAAAAAAAAAAAGTATCATACAAGTGTTGATCATACATTAATGGTTCTGAACTCTACTATGTAACAGAATTTCCTTGAAGATTTCTTAAAAATGCTCTAGCATTAACCCTCAGAGATTCTGACTTAATTAGTCTCAAGTGATACCCAGGCATCAGAATTTTTTTTAAAGCTTCCAACATGATATGCTGGGGCGCCTGGCTGGCTCAGTCGGTAGTGCATATGACTCCTGATCTTGGTGTCGTGAGTTTGAGCCCCACAATGGGTGTGGAGATTACTTAAAAAAAAAAAGCTACCTACATGATGCTAATATGCAACCTGGATTAAGAACTACTGCCATAAATGATTTGTTCAAGACTGTTCAATAATGTTGGAAGAAATTTTAAAATAAAGAAAGCAGCTAATACTTACACTGAAACTTTCTCAGGTTGATTAATCCATGGTCTCTTATAATTCTAGGACGAAAACCACAATACTGTATAATTAGTTCCACATCTAATGTCTTCCACATGCAGTTTTTATTACACATTTGAAACACTATGAGGTGGAATACTGAGGTTCAAAGACACCATCACTCCCCACAAAGTTCTGAAGGGTAGTGAGTCTGGAACAAAATTTTAGGCTTTCAAGCATCATATATTTTTCCTCTCCTTGGGCCTGATAAACTCTCAGCAACTATTTGCTGGATGAATGAATGAGCACTCAAAAATACTGAAAAACATGTCTATAACTTGGAATGAAACAGAAGGGAATCTGTGTCTGTGTCATAAGAATTAATCTGTTTAATTTAGGGAACTGATAATTGAGAACAGTCATTTAAAGGGAAACAGCTAAACCATAAAAGGGCGCCGTGATCACACCTTCAACATTTACAACTGTACATGTGTACATTCACAGAACGTTTTGAAGCTGTTTGAAATAAATATTGTGCATGTTTAGTGGAAGGGCCTCAACATAAGATCTAACAGCATCCTCAACCACTGAGTTCCACAATACTGGCTAGCTCGAATTATGTGTGTGTATGTGTGCACAGCAAAAACAGAATTTAGGTAAACCATGCAGAGCTGTGTCTGGAACTGCAGGTATTCATGACTAGTGACGAAGCTTCTCACAGGGGCAGCTGGGTAACCTCCTTCAGCACTTCTCAGAAGCTGACTCTAGGCACGCTTTACTTTAAGGTCACATCTTGGTCCCTCAAGAGTGCCTCCCAAGTCCTATTCCTTTTTTTGTTGTGATGCCATTGTGTTTCTAGTCTGTAACACCATGATAACATACACACATGCTCATACCCACTGCATACCCTTTCCTGAACTGTTAACAGTCTCTGTAAGCTAACAGGGGTCTGGGATCCATAATTTCTCAGTCTGAATGCATGTTTTTTATTCTGCAGCAAAGAGAAGGAGTAACTGCCTGAAACCTGTTCAGAATTTCTTTGAAATCCTTTTAGGTAAGACTTCTCATAAAAAATGAGCAGTTAGAATGAATGCATTAAAAAAAAAAAGCATAACAATTTGATAACACCTTGAATTTATCTTGTTCCTTTTTTCCTTAAAACAGTGCACCCATATTATTCAATGGTCATTGTAACATCAAGGAAGGGTAAGAAAGAGCAAGTAAAAAACAAACAAACAAAGGACAAGTATTATTATCTGCATTTGACAGATGGAAAAATTAAGGACCAAGGAAAATAAGTGTCTTCCTCAAGGTCACAAGACAAGCCACAAGTAGAATGTTCTTATGGGCTATATGTGGTCAATAGTCCATACCTGAAAGAAGGCTGGATGGTTTTCTGTACTTACTTTTTTCGTCTTTGTCTCTCCTTTAACCTGGAATGATAGATATCTACTACAGCCATCTTCAGAGCTATAAACAAACACATACACACACACAGATATAAAGCCAAGACAAAAATAAATCTTTTATCTGAACGGTCTTAAACTTTGAACCTCATATTGCTAACTATTCCACACTCACTGGTCTAGGCACTTTGTCTCTTGGAAACAAAAATATCCTAGGATACTGAATTTCTTTGTCAGTAAATTACAGTGAAGATCTTTTTTCCTATGTATATGTTTATATGGCATTACCCTATAGATAACAATTTCTGCTTTCTACTGAACACCTCTTTTGGCCATGCCTTGTTATGCATATTACTAGGTTTCATATAACAGGAGTCTGAACTTTGGTCATACACGGACTAGAAATCGCATCTATTAGAGTAGTCATAAAATGAATATTGACCGGGGTTATAACCTCACAGGAGTAAGTTCAGGAGACAATATCAAAAAAGACTGATGTCAATAAGGTGCAGCAGAGACATTTTTCCAGAGTAGCACTTTTCAGTTGTGGAGCAACAACTATTTAGGGGATAGTTTTGCATGCAGTAGTGAAAAGTTCCACTAACTAGCCTAACAACCCCAAAGCTATGCTCTGCTTTGTTGCGCATGTCCCAATCCTTTCCTGGCTTTAGCCTCATGTTAAAGACACAGGGAGAAAACAGTCAGTAGACGGCAAAAGGTTTCATCAATACAGTAGTTCTGGTTCTCTTTCTTTCCCTGGCCAATTTTTCCAGCTTCAGAGTTCCTCAGGGTTCTGTTCTCATCTTTCTTTTCACCCCTCACCTTATTCCTATAAACTCATCCACTCCTATGGTTCCAAGTGCATCAAAATATATAATCTCAGACTCAGATATTTATTTTAAGCTCCAGATCCTATCTGGGTATCTCTACTCACATAGTCCTCAGTTACAAACTTGTACTTTACCTCTTTCCCAAAACTCTGTTGTCCAAGACAGAAATCAGCCTGACTCTCCCTCCCCTCCCTCCATATCCAGTCAGTGAGTCTTACCTATATTGAATGCTTCAGTCTGTCTTGAATTCATCTCTTCCTCTTTGTCCCTAATCCTATTCCTTAGCTTCGGTATCTTGTCTCACCTAGATCACTGTGTGTACTTTTTAGTAACTCCAGTTCTACCTTATTCTAATTCAACCCTTCAAGTGGTACCAGGGTAATGTTTTTAAGCATACTCTGATGGTGTATTTCCCCTGCTGACAATTTTTCCAGTGGCTTCCCATCCACTTACAGGAGTTCAAACCCTCACATATTATACAAAACTCCTTATTGCCTTGAATCTCCCAATCTTCCCAGTCTCGTTTCCTACCATTCCTTCATACGCCCTATACACCATGCAGGTGAAACAATCTGCCCTCGCTCACAGAGCTGCTAAGTACAGAGCAGGGATCCAAACCCACTTTGATTCTAAAGCCTTGGAGTAGGAGAGACACTGAAATTGCCCAACATGTACTTTCTCTGTGAGAGTAATCTGGCTTAACTAAAAATGAAATGAGTGTTTAAAAAAAAAAACTCAGAAGTAAACAACTTCCATAGGCTTTTTATAATCTGAAGACCCTCTGAAGTTAAGAAATAAAAACCAACCATTAACAGCTCTAGAAGAAACTATGAAGACTACTTGATTTGGCACTGTGCTACACAAACCATTCTTAACTATAATCCATGGATTCTGAAGGAAATTTTTTTTTTAAGATTTTATTTATTTGAGAGAAAGAGAGAGAGGGAGAGAGAGCACAAGTGGGGGCAAGAGGGGCAGAGGGGGAAGCAGACTCCCAGCCAAGTGGGGAGACCGATGCCCGATGTGGGGCTCGATCCCAGGACCCTGGGATCATGACCTGAGCTGAAGGCAGACGCTTAACGACTGAGCCACCCAGGCACATGGATTCTGAAGGAATCTTAAAATTTAATGATTTCAGTAGATTCTGGAACTATCTTAATAACTTGTTATCCCCTTAGGCTTTGTGTAAGTTGAGAGTTTGATGGGTTTTGTTTTAATTACTGAATGTAGTCACAGAAGAAAGAGGCTCTAGAGCACAACATAATGACCTGACACGTGTCCTTTGAAAATCTAAAATATGCTATTCAGATGGTAGGTAATAAAATTTAACACACCAGGCGCGCAGCAAAGAATTTACTGTGTATGACAATCACGTCTTCCAGGGTAGTGAGCTTCACTGAACCAAAATAGAGCCTAGAGCCTCTGTAATACTGATAAACAAAAAAGGCAATATAATCTCATTGCTCATCAGAAGGATGTGAGATACAAATTCAAGTTTAGGGCGCCTGGGTGGCTCAGTTGGTTAAGCGACTGCCTTCGGCTCAGGTCATGATCCTGGAGTTCCGGGATCGAGTCCCACATCGGGCTTCCTGCTCAGCAGGGAGTCTGCTTCTCCCTCTGACCCTCTTCCCTTTCGTGCTTTCTATCTCTCATTCTCTCTCTCTCTCTCTCAAATAATAAAATCTTAAAAAAAAAAAACAAAAACAAATTCAAGTTTAACCCATGGGGGCAATGAGTCAACACAGATTTGCATGTTCTCCTAGAGTAACTTTTAAAACGTTGTTTTCAAATGTGTTCTTATCTGAAACGGACAAGTTAGATCAGCTTTAGCTGAACCTCTTCCTTACTCTACCTCCAGCGACCTTTCCCAGTAGTAGTCTCTGAGGGTACCGCGGCGCAATAATTTGAAACCCACACTTTTGCTTCCTGAAACTAGATTTTAAGGCAGGAAAAAAAATGCAACCAATCAAGCAAGAGAACAGTACACAATGGCTCATTACAATCACGAATTTCTTTCACAATATAAAACAACAGAAGTTGAGTAATGTACAATTCTGAGGCAGTGTCAGTATGGTATTCCTGGCAAGATAATAGAAATAAATTCTGGATACTCCATGCTGACTCATTACTGTGCATCTCACTGCTACCTGCCCTCAGGATTAACTCAGATTAGAAGGAAGAAATACCAAAATCTAACATGTGGGGCTATGAACAGATGCACTATATATGTATGTAACTTCAATCACTGGGAAATGACCAGGAATACTTTATCTAGGTCATTCTGCCTTGAGTCTGAGATAAAAATAACAAATTCTAACTGGATGATCTGAAGAGGTAAGTGGATGCATTACTTTTTAAAGTTTAAGTATAAAGAAAAAAGTACTAGTTACTACAGATTTTCTTTGTTCATTTCTAGTAAGTTCAAAATTTTATTTATTTTAAGATTTTACTTAGGGGTGCCTAGGTGGCTCAGTCAGTTAAGTGTCTGCCTTCAGCTCAGGTCATGATCCCAGGATCCTGGGATTAAGCTTTGGGCTCCCTGCTCAGTGGGGAGTCTGCTTCTCCCTCTCCCCACTCCCCTGCTCCTGCTCTCTCACTATTGCTGTCAAATAAATAAATATTTATTTTTAATAAATCTTTAATAAAGAGAGAGAGAGAGCGCGCACGCATAAGTAGGGGGAGCAGGAGAGGGAGAAGCAGGCTCCCTGCTGAGCAGGGAGCCCGAAGTGGGGCTCGATCCCAGGACCCTGGGATATGACATGAGCCGAAGGCAGCCGCTTAACTGGCTGAGCCACCCAGACGATCCAGTAAGTTCAAAAAGCTAAACAACACTGCTTTATTTTTCCTCACAACCATTCACAACTAAAAATAATTCAGTAATATCAGATTCAAGATTTAAGGCAATGGTTTTCAAATTTTTTAGGTAGAACTCTTTCTATAAGTGAGCTCTTTCTTGATGTAGAGGGTTGTTCCATATAAAAGCCCAGGTATCATGAAATACTCCCACTGCTTTCTAACACCCTGCTGTAGTTTGATAAGCTCTAGACTGGTGTGCTGGTGGAGATGCACTTGATATCCCTGTGTGGTGGAACAGGCAGGTACGAACAGGGAGGAGAGGATGTGTCTCTAACCAAACACAAGTTTTAGAGTGGACTCTAACTCTTTTTCATATAAGAAACAGAATTAGGCAGTCAACAGTTCAAGGCAGGAGAAACAAAAAAAGGAGGAAAAAAAAAAAGCTACGTAAACAGCTAACACACAGCTGAGTACTTATCACATTCCAAGCTCTTTGTGGGTCTTATCTTATTTACCTACCCAAACAAGATGAGTTCAATAGGATAAAAAACGACTTGCAGATCCAGTGGAAATTATTGCTAATTCTGAAAACATATTTCTGTAATCTAAGATATTAACTTATCAGGTTGTTTCCTGAGATTTGTGTGGGAATGACTTAATTAACACAGAAAAAAAAACTGAAGAGACTACAAAAAAAAAATCTATTAATACTGACAACTGGTTTCACTGCTTGATCACTTCAATAGTTTGGACTGTGCAACTGGCTCTGGAGAACAAATGGAAGGAAAGGCACACACAGAAACAAATGGGAGAACTGGAATTCTCCCAGAGGAAAATGCGTATTTGGAAGCCGTCTCTTTTCTTTGCACTCAGCAGCAACTGATTATAAAATCTTAACTGCATGAATAGCCCAGGGAGGACCACAGCACAGCCGGCAGAACAGAAATGAGAAGGCAGACACTGAAAGAATGAGAATCACAGGTTCACATTCTACTTAGAGTGACTGGAAGTTCCAGGAAAGTGGGTAAACAAAGCACCAGAGATCATTAAAAACAAACCAACCACAACCAACCATAACCTATTCACTCCTGAAATCTCAGCTTTGGGGGAAGAATTGTGTCCCTGTGATTACACTGGGGACTGATAACAAAGTTTCTAAACGGCTGGCCTTAAAATATTTCAAGAAGTGGGCAGAAGTCAGAGGCAGTTCCTTCCCACTGCAGTGTATTTCTAACATTGTTCAAAATAGCTGGCAACATGTCTCTGTTTTCCTGACAGAAGGCACTTACTGCTTGCTTGGCAAGAAAACCAACTCAGAGACCTTAACTGCAGGGAAGCCAATCAAAATCCCTGCTGCAACCACACAAGCATAAACCTGTGACTCAGGTATTCCCCAGAAGCAGAGCTTTTTAAAAGTCATTTCCCCCAAAAGCTTTTGGTCAAGATGTACACAATTAATTCTGGGGAGGAAAGATGATGATGGGACCTAATGGTTAAAGTCAGCAAGTAGGAAACCATAGTTACTTAAGTCCTTTGTGCACTTTCTTGAATGTAAAGTGGGAAAATATCTACCCCTACTTCTCAGCAATGTGGTTAAGCTATAGAAGATAACAAATGTGATATTTCACAAACACACACAAAAAAACTCAGCAATAAAAATGCAAGGTTGTAAAGATGATAAATATTGTACAGTATTAACAACATAGATTCTGGAGATGGCTCTGTCACTAGCAGGTTATATGACCTGAGGCAGTGATGTAGATGTACTACATCTACACTACACTACACTACACTACAATGATGTAGTGACCTCTGTCACTAGCAGGTTATATGACCTTGATATTTCCATTCTTCAGTTTCCTCATCTACAAAACAGAGATGTGGATGATGATGACAATAATGCCAAACTCATAGAGTTTTGTGAGGATTAAATGAGGTCACGTGTGAAGGGCATAGAATGGTACCTGGCAAACAGTAAGGGCTGTATGTATCAGCTATTATTACTAACAGCATTTATGTCTAAAATGTCCTAAGCATAAAACTTTACATGCTTTACATGCCTTTAAAGGGAAGGGTACTGCCAATAGGTAGCTAAGTATACACAGTGACAAGGCTGGACCTCTAATCTACTAACCATTCAATTATCTAAAGGCTGACAATATGAGCCAAAGAAGAGAAAAAAGGAAAAAAAAAAAAGGTGGGGGAGTATCCATGCCTGGCCAAGAAATTGTGCTGAAATTAGCTTTCCAAATAGAGGAAGAGTAATCTGTCCTAATGGGCAACCCTATGAAGATACTGCACTCAGGGTTTTAGAACCTGTGAAACTCTGAGAAAGGGGATTCCACAAATCGAGGAGCGGTTTTCCCAAATGGAAGCACACTGGGGAGAGATGGCCCACAGGAAAAAGGAACACCACTGTGCATCTACACTGAGATCCCAAACATACCAGGACACAGGAGAATGCCAAGTTATGAGTCTTCTGCGTCGCTCTTTCTGAGCCAATAATTTCTGCTTATTTCAATAAATACATGGTGGTGTCATTTAGGGATCCCAGAACTTCCTTATTTTCTTCCTCAGACACTGCTTCACTTGCAGTATCCTTTCCAGGCCCATTCTGAAAGCCTCTGGTATGGCTGGAATGCAATCAATTATCCCTCCACTGTATCCCACCCTCTATAATGGACAATTCAAACCATCATATTAGACAAATTCCATGAATCATAGCAAAAATTTTGGGTGAGGAAACATAAAAGGAATGTTACTAATGCTCAGTAATATTAAGAGTATAATGGTGTAATGGAATGGTAATAACACCAATCTCAATTACATATCATCTTCACTGGAGACATTCACACTCTGACTAAACAGTGTTACCCCTCCTTTACTGGCAGTGGACACACACAGGAAAAAAAAAACCAGCAAGCAAGATTGCAAAGACTTGCCCAAGATCACACAATGACTCAGAAGTAGGCCTGAAGTAGAATCAGTGTCCTAATTTGCACAAAATATGTGCGCCCTCTCTGTTCTAGGTGTGCTCAGAAAGCTCCTTCTCATTCCTTCCTGTCTCTGGCAAGAAAACCTCCTGCCACTGGGAGTGGGCTCCTAGTCCCTCCCCTTCACTGGGTATTCTGGGAGAAAGTGCTCGGCTCAGGGGCTTGGGGGCCATACATACCACACTGGATAGTGGGTCATGCAGCCAGAGGGGCTAAATAAGAACTCTAGATCATAAACAAAGCCTCCTTTTGTAGCACCAGCAAGTCATCCCTTTGATCTCAAGCACGGCTAAACCTCTTTCAAATGTCAACATCTTTTAAAAAGCACCCATCTGAACATCTTATAGTTTGCCACTAAGGGAGGGAAAAGGGAGGCAGGGCTGATGATTTGCATTCTGTTAAAGCTGCTTATTGTAACAGTCAGTAACTGATGCTTCGATTCTAGCTCAAATTAACTAGAATCAAGAGACTTACAAGGCTGTAGAAATTGCAGGAAGAACACAACTAAAGTATGTTCTAGGTTTGAAATGCTAACTGAAACAAAAACTGCTAATCAATAGCTTATTTCTGATTTTTTTCCTGTTGCCCTACTTAGTTACAGAAAGAACCATAGTGTACCAGAAGAAATTGCAAGTCTTGCTTCTACAAAGAATGAAGAGTGAAATTAAATACCCACCATTACCACAGTTTTGTTGATAATGTTAAGACTAAAGAATGAAGACCTTGGGAAGAAGTGATCTGGCAAGCCTCTGACATAGTTGAGCCATTATTGACATGGAAAATCCTGACTTTGAAAAGTTGGTTACTTTTGAACAGTTATCTAAAAGGGTGACATTTATGGAGCTACTTTTTTTTTTTTTTTTTGCCTTCCGAATAAGAAAGATGCAAGTCAGGAAACAATAGCATTTTAATTAAAGCTGGTGTGACTGACAAATACTGAGCAGCAATCTGCACACTGCAGTTGGGGAACACCCCCAGAGGGGGGAAAGAGCAGCACGCGAGTTACTGGGCTGGAAAGGAAGAGACTGAAGTGGAAGACTGAACAAATACAGTCTATCTAGTGAATGCTCGAGTAGTTTGCTTTCAAGCTTTCCTCTTTTAGTGCCATCTGCGTCACCTCCACTTTCCTTAAAGTCGTGTGGGAGAAAAAGGGAGGAATGAAATTTTGTGAAGAAAACAGCTCAAGAAATATGTCGATGGTAAATTCTGAAGGTAAAATTTTTAAGAGGACTCTTTCTCTGTCCCAGATCTGGTGTAACGAATGCCTAAATAGCTCTTGTATGGAGAGAAGAATCAAGTGCCCTTTTCAGTGACAGAGTATCAGTTAATGTAATATACAAACTTGATTTGCAATTCCACAAGGATTCTCCTTGCCTTTCCTGCCTGGGATATAGATTTAAGAGAAACAATGAAGACACTGTTTGGGAAATGTGGGAGAATCCAAGGAGGCATTACTCACCTATTGTATCACATTCAATTCTAGACTAAAATGAAAGAAGATTGGGGATTATTTTAAATAGGTAGTTCAATGTAAATGGAAAGAGGGGGAAAAAAGAGATTCAATGGAAGTCTTAACCCCCGACTTTTAAGAGCCCTGCTGGCATTAACTACTTATGTTATAACACAAGAATGGACATAAATCCTTAGAGGGCTCATCTTAGGTGAGAGTTCAGAAGTGCTGAAAATTCAACAGTACTGGGAAACAAGAATTTCCCAAGCTTGGTCTAAAAACCCTTGAAGAACTTCCATTCTTTTTCCCTGCTAAGAGAAATTTGGGGTAACAAATTATGGTGAACATCTAGCATCATCAGTTGCTACTGAAGTTCCCAAGGTGTTCACATTGACTCCCTTCCTTCTAAGGAGGCAGTGAGAGCCATTCAACCGACTACCTCATTGTAGGCTTACCTCAGTCAAAAGAAAGATCACACAGTCCAAGACCGGGATACCAACCACCATTACATGATCCACATTCTCACCCTCATCACAAAATGATCTTTTTCATGTGGTCAAAACACAACAACAGGTAAATGCAGCAACTTACCCCACCAGGTTTTGAGTCCCATAAAGGCAGGGAACGTGTTTTATTTATCCTTTTATTCATTCCTAGCACCCAACACAGTGTCACCATATACTTTACAATTGATAAAAACATGTGCTGAAATAAAATGTTACCATGTAAAATGTCCGAGTCATCTTCAACAAAATCGATGTCTCTCAAGTCCCATTCTGCGTAATTGTCAAACTCCTGTTTGGGGAAAAAAATCCCCACCCCAAACCCATCAGCTTTGAGTAATGCCTTCACAGTAGCCATGCTTTAGAAGCAAACAGAAAAGAAACAAACAAACAAAACAAAAAAGTACCGAATGGAGTAGTACATGGTCAGGAAACCACTATAAGAAAGAAGAAGTCACAGGAAAAAGCTTGAGAGGCTTTCAGGCAGTAGAGACAGCAAAAATATGAGAAAGTTTCAAGTCCAGGAATAAAGCCAAATCTAGCGTTCTAAAAATTAAAAGTAATCTGTTCATAAAATCTAAACTGAGAAATCTAACTCTGAATAGGCCATCAAGTGTTTAGATAAGAACACTGTCTACGTTAATTCATCTACCTTTTTACTTTTTACTACCTTTTGAGGCTCTATTTATTTGATATTGCTTATATAGTTCAATGGGTAGATTTGTTCATATTTGACTCAATGAGTACAATTTGTAGGAGCAGTAAGTAACAGCTGCCATGAACAAAATGAAGACCTGTGTGTGGCTGGCAAAATTATTGTAGTTTGCTAAACTTTTAAATTATCTCCAGGAGCGTTGTCATTGTGGATCAGATGGTAAATCAAGAGACTTGTAATTGCTTTCACATGGTTTTTAACTCCATGGATGAACAAGGAATATACAGTTTTTATACACATTCATCATGCTTTATATACTTCCGAATACAGAACAGGGATCAGCAAACTACAGTCTATGGACAAATTTCAGCCCACTGCTTATTTTGTAAATAAAGTTTTATTGGAGCACAAGCATGTTTGTTTTGTTTACACATTATTTATGTTGCTTTTGCATAGTAATGGCAGTTTAGTTGCGACAGAGACTTTATGGTCTACAAAAACTATTTACTGTCTGGTCCTTAAAGGAAAAAGTCTGCCAACCCCTGATACTGTACAACTTTGAAATGCCCGAGGGGTGGAATGAGAACCAGATCACAGAAACCCCATATCTATTAAGTAAATGAGAGCCAACATCTTTGCAACTTAGAAATAGGTTCTTGGTATGTAAAACTACATTTTATATGTGAAAATGTCATGAATGAGAAAAGACACTCAAATGAAAGAAAACGTGGCTGCCTAAAGGCCCTATAAATTACAGTGCCTTGAAAATCTGTTTTTAGTGGTATGGAACCTATAGGTAAGAGATATAAGCCTCATGTGAAACAAAAACAAGTTTCTCCTACCTCGATAAAATCTGCTCGAGCTGGCATGTATCCTGCCATGTCCCGAGAAAGCAAGGAGTCAAAGGTAGGTCGGGGAGGGTCATCTGTAGCTGGAAGAATTTAGGTTCTTAGTTAGTTAATAAAATATTGGCATGAAAAAGTAACAGAGAAATAGTCCTCATTTACGCTCTGAAATATTTTTGTTTGGGGAAAAAAACAGTGTCTGAGAGAATAAATAAAATTCAAAACATTTTTATAAAGGGAAAAGTGAGAAAGATAAAATATTACGGAAACAGACTGAATTCTTAAAAAGGAAACTAAGACTTAGGAAATTCTCTAAATAAAATGGGGAAATTCCTTCTGAATTGTGCTTTCTTAACATAATAGAAAACCAAAGATCTTCTCTTTAATATTACAGAACATAAGTATTTACCCTGTCTGCTTCAGTTCCCTTACCCTTTAGGACCAATATCAATTTATAAATCTCACCCAACTGGGCAAAAAAAACCCCACAGGATTTGGAAGTTAGCTGGAATTGGGTCCCAGCTCCAATATCCTCTAGTCCCATGAAGCACAAATTATTTAACCTTTCTGAATCTGTTTCCTCATGCATAAAGCAAAAGCACTTGCTCTCCCTATCTCACTGGGTTGCTATGAGGAACAAATGATCTAATGGATTTGAAAACAAAATGTTACCACCCAAAGTGTTTTCCAAATAGGTATCGTCAGGCTTTGAGTTAGTCGGCTATGAAACTGTTTCTAGAGTCCGAGGAAAGGGGCGGGGAAAGGTGGTCGTGAAGAAAACATTCATATCTCATTATTTGTGCTTCTGGGAGTCATTCAGCAAAGATGTCCATTTATAACTCATCATGGTTTTAGTTTTGTTTTGTTAGAAGACCCATGAGTCCCTTAGCGACATGAGATTAAAAAAAAAAAAGCTTGCTATTACTACCATAACTAAGTGAACTAAAATAACAAGCTGCTTCTTGGACTCAACACTGGGATGATTAAATACAATGAATCAAATACTGGACTCTCATAACTAATACCTAGAATCTTAAACCCTCCAAAGCAGCGAAGGTTGGTTCATTTTGGACATCTCATCCGCAGAAACATTAAAGTTGGCTGATATGTTCACAAGCCTCAGAGTGGGTGGGACTACACACTGTTTCTGGGCACTGGGATTTCCGGTGCAGGACTCCAACCCCTTTTCCCCATTACAGCCCTGACTCTCAGCAACTGCCAGGCCAACCCCTCCCATCTTCCATAAGCTCTTCAGCTGCCCAAACCACTGTTCATCTGCTACAGCAACAGGGCCGGAGGGTGAGCTCAGCACCTCTTAGCGACACAGGAGGCACTTACACTGAAATGGTATGGCTGTGTCAGCAGTTTTCGCCTCCTCCGCGTGCTTCAGGTTCAGCAGGGTAGACGCAAACAGAGGGTTATTGATGAAATGCTTCATATAGTGCTTCTCACACTCTTCCTTGGTCTTGGTGCACATCTGATTGGCTACATCCTGCCTAGAGGATCGTGAGAAGAGAAAGCTCTGACCATTTATACAAAGTGGTTCAAAGCACGGTTTGCTCTTTCCATAGTTTAAGCCCCAGCTCAATAAATGTCTGGAATTTGACACCTCCAAACCAGTATCATGGAGATATCAGCTGAACGATGAGAGAAATATAAGCCTAATACTGGTGTAATCTGATGTGCCAAATCCGATTCTATTCCAAGATATAGAAATAAGATCTGAAAAGTGCTTTCCTTTCCACCAAAAGCAAGGAAGATCACTAGAAAATCTGTAAATTTCCGTGTGAGCTAGGCCTCAGGAAAAGAACTGCTATAATAAAACACTTCAGAACACTCAAAATGTACATCAGTGCAGTTTCATATTTGCATCATGTTTTATAGTTTACAAAACACTTCACATCAACAAACATTTCTTTACTAGAGTGCCCATGATAGGCCAAGCACGAAGCTAGAAACATTCATAACATAAATAAGTTAGCCCTAGTGTTATCCATGTAGTGTTGAGTACTTACTATCTCAGTTTCACAGATGAAAAAGAGGCCCAAAGAGATTAAGAAACTTGCTTGAGAAAATAAAACACGTAAGTGCACAAAGCCAGAATCTGTACTTCAGACCTGACTCCTAAGCCCAGATGGTGGAGGAGTAGAGATGTAAGCTCTCCAAGTTGCCTCTTGACCTCTCTCCTCTCGAGTACTTAACCTGCCCATCTGCTAAGGCATCATTATGCTCTGCTTCGTGTACTCCAATCATACCTACGTACATTTTGATTTCCCTACTGGATTATAAGCTTCTTGAGGGCAGCATACATGTCATAATTTTTATCCCTACCACCCTCACCACCAAGTTTAGTGTCTTACTCACAGTTGACAGAGAAACAATAGTCTTTTTTTTAATTTTTTTATTGTTATGTTAATCACCATATATTACATCATTAGTTTTTGGTGCAGTGTTCCATGATTCATTGTTTGTTCATAACACCCACTGCTCCATGCAGAACGTGCCCTCCTCAATACCCATCACCAGGATAACCCATCCCCCTCCCCCCCCCCCCCAACAACAGTCTTTTTTTGTGTGGTCTTTACCAAGAGGGAAGGGAAACAGGGAGGATTAGTCCATTTTGGAACATCAGAAAGGCAAGCAAAAAATGAAAAACTAGGCCCAAGATGATTAGCAAGCTCCTCACAAGTGATCACTTTTTTCTGTTTTCTTTGGTATTCCCCATAGTACACAATATTTTATGATGCTTACTAAATGCTGAATAAATACAAGCAAAATGTGAACTGAACTAAAGTTTCCTTCTGCAGGGCCCCGGACACAATGGAGGTAGCACAGTATCTTCTATGGCTATTGGGATAGATTACTTACACTAGTAAGTCAGGACAGGGAGGATCTAGTTAGGAGTCCTTCACTAATAAGCTATGTGATCATAAGAAATGATTTTAACTCCCTAAGCTTCAGATTCTTCATGAACGAAATATAATTTAATAATGTCCCTACTATCTATTTTCGCAAAAGGAAATCATCAGTGTGAAAGTATTCCCAAAAGGTAAATGTGAAAGTGGTAATATCATTATTAGGTGGCATTGCCTCCTAGGGCAACAGCAATGAATGCTGTTCAGTTCTGCCAGGCTTTGACTTATCTGCAAGCTAAAAACAGGGAATGCGAGTAACAGATCTCCCAAACTCGAGCCTCAGGTAAGCTATGGCCATCTAGCTAAAGTCTGACTCACTTAAATGATGAGGGTATCTATAGTCAAGAAAAATCCCTAAAATCAGAAAGGAGCAATAACTAGTAAGTCTAAACTTCCCCAGTATTCAGAAAGAAACAAACAACCCTCCCCATCTTGATATATCCAAAGTGGCCTTTTAGAGCTGCCCAGTCATGGACAACTAAACATACCATATCTCTTTGAGGCATTTCAGCCATTGAAAATAATATGTAGAATGGAAGAGGACGGATCTCTAAGTCATGGGTCAAGAGAAAAGTAACACATGGCCCCAAACTCCTCTTTCTAAGGCTCCTCCCTTTACCCTTCAACAGCACCTTCCTCTCTGAGCCCACTAGAGCAGGACAACCCTTAACACCAAGCTCTTACCAATTTCCAAAGCCACAGTCCATCACAGCTTCTAAAAGGGCCATTTCTTCTTGAGCAGTCCAGCTGGGGTCAAGAACAGGAAAATCTGAGGTCTAAGGAGGGAAAAATTTTGCCTAAGAACAGATATAGAAATGGAACCCAGCAACCTGAAATGTAGTACTTGTACTTAAATGACTATCATTCTCATGGTTTTGAGAAGTACCTAAAGTATATTCTTATTAGTTGTCCATCTCTCCCACCTCTATTTCCACCATTAACTACAAGAGTCTCCAATAGGGCGCCTGGGTGGCTCAGATGGTTAAGCATCTGCCTTCGGCTCAGGTTATGATCCCAGGGTCCTGGGATCGAGTCCCGCATCGGGCTCCTTGCTCAGCAGGGAGTCTATTTCTCCCTCTGCCTCTCCCCCTGCTTGTTCTCTCTCTCTCTCTCTCTCGCAAATGAATAAATAAAATCTTAAAAAAAAAAAGAGTCTCCAATAAACATTATCACTCAGAAATGCCATGTAACTCATGTAGACATACATATTTTTGAAGATTTTATTTATTTAGTTAGAGAAAGAGTGAGCAAGCAGAGGGAATGGCAGAGGGAGAGGGAGAGAGAGAATCTCAAGCGCTCCACGCCAAGGGTGGAGCCCAACACGGGGCTTGATCCCATGATCCTGAGATCATGACCCGAGCTGAAATGAAGAGTTGGACGTTTAATTGACTGAGCCACCCAGGCACTCCAAAGTATTTTTTAAACTTAGCACAAAGGTAGAGATAAATATTATAGTTACCTATGGGGAAGGGAGGGACAGAAGCTAAACCTCTCTGAATATTCCTTGTTTGGTACATCTGACTTTGAAATATAAATACTGTATATTAACTACTAAATTTAAAATCTTAAGAGTCAAAAGCAAAATGTAACAAACCTATGAATTAATTTTAAGGCATAATCACAGAAAGAAAATATCCCACATGACTTTAAAACAGTGATTTGATTATATATCTCTAGTAGAATACATCTTAGAAGAAAAACGAACTGCTGGGGTGCCTGGGTGGCTCAGTCATTAAGCGTCTGACTTCGGCTCAGGTCATGATCCCAGGGTCCTGAGATCGAGCCCCGCATGGGGCTCCCTGCTCCACACAAAGCCTGCTTCTTCCTCTCTCACTCCCCTGCTTGTATTCCCTCTCTCGCTGTCTCTCTCTCTCTCTGTCAAATAAATAAATAAAAATCTTTTAAAAAAAAAGAAAACAAAAGCGAACTGCCAAAAAAAAAAAATCTTACACTGTTTTCAGGAGTGCTGGTATAGTTATTCTGAGGTTATTGTGTGCAGATGTGTTATGGGGTAAAGCAAGTAAGAAATTGCGCTGGTGTCACTGGGCAGTGGGATTTCCGGCTTGGGGTTTAGAAAGATATAGATACAAGACCTATGCTTACACAAAAACCTTATAGTCTTACATTTGAATTGGAAGTTTAGTATGAACTTACAATGTACTTTGTCTCAAAAGAATAATTTCCTAACACTGTTCAATGAAAAAGTCTAGAAATGATGACCAACCCAGTAGCAATGAACACTTCTAATGCCCAGTATGCAGTCACTAAATACTATTTCCCACTAAGGAAACAGGGCTCTTTGAAGAAAGACCTGAATCTAGGTTCGAGTAAGAAAATGCACCAGAATGAGACTAGAACATTTTGTCATAATGGAAAGCAAAGAGGTTCTCAAAGCCAGTAAGGGTCATGTCAAAAGGATTCAGAGGCCATCTTGTAGAAGCTCCCACTAACCAAAAAATGGAGTTGACAGAGAAATTAAGTAAACACCTAGATACATCAACAACAACAAAAATCTAATTTGAAGAAAGAGATGAAAGACTGAATAAAAAAACAATGTCAGAGTTGTGTGGGATAGCTTCAGTATATTGAACACATTTGGAATTGGAGTCCCAGAGGGGAGGAGAAAGAGAGAATGGGACAGAAAAATTAACTTAAGCAATACTGGCTGAAATGTTCTAAATTCAGCAAACTACTTAAATTTATAGACTGAAGAAGCTTAGGAAACTCCAAACAGATAAATTCAAAGGGAAGAATGAGTCACCATATTATAGTCAACTGCTAAAAAGCAAAGATAAAGAAAACAATCTTGAAAGCAGCTCAAGAATAAACAACATGGTTTCTCTGGATGCTTTCCATTTCTTTAAGCCCTCAATGCCGTGGGTTCTCCATATTTAATGTGCAAAATAGCAGAATTTAATAATAATAATAATTTCACACATGCTGTTTAGCTACCACATATTCCCATTTTTCCTAAAGGAAAGATGCACAGGATACATATTAAGTGGAAGAACATTATTCTACACTCTATAGATTCAGGGGCAAATTCAGGATCTTCCTCTTCTTCAAATCTCAAAAAGAAGAAGAGAAGAAGAAGAAGAGGGAGAAGGAGGAGAAAAAGAAAAGAGAGATGGGGCTTTTTCTGTATCCAACAAAATTTGGTTGAGAATTTAAGAATATAGATTTAAGAATATAGAGTCTTAAATTGTAAGTAGTGAGATGTGAGCAAGCAGTTATTGAAGTATGTGTTACAGTGTAAATAGGTCTTTGGAATTTGGGAAGACTGAGAGGTGAGAGTCCAGCTCTAAGTGACTCAAAAGGAGACTAATCAGCTTTTGTAATATTGTCCTTTTCTGTGAGATACAAGAGGGGTGATTGGAGGTCATGAGAGAAGGGAATAGAAAAGATGGGAGCATTTTGAGCATTAACAAGGATAATAACTGCAAAGAACTGAAATACATAAAATCTAAATATTTAGAGGATGCCAGGGAACCAACTCATATTTTCAAAATTAGTAAACAAAGGGAAATAATCAGGTATTTTATCCTGCCTTTCCTGGGTGACCACAGAGATGAAACATTTCTTTTTATGGAATTATATTTATTTTTTTAAAGATTTTATTTATTTATTTGACATATAGTGAAAAAGGAAACACAAGCAGCGGGAGTGGGAGAGGGAGAAGCAGGCTTCCCGCTGAGCAGGGAGCCTGATGCGGGGCTCGATCACAGGACCCTGTGATCATGACCTGAGCCGAAGGCAGAAACTTAACGACTGAGCCACCCAGGTGCTCTAGAATTATTTTAACTCATAAATCAAAATGAGTTCTGGGGGGCACTTAGGTGGCTCAGTCGCTTAAGCATCTGACTCTGGATTTGACTCATGATCTCAAGGGTTGTGGGATCGAGCCCCATGTTGGGCTCTGCGCTGAGCATGGAACCTGTTTAAGATTCTCTCTCTCCCTCTCCATCTCCCTCTGCCGGCTCCCCTATCGTGCATGTACTTTCTCTTAAAAAAAAAAAAAAAAAAAGAGGGCTAGTGCTAAGGTTAAAAGATAACTATTTTGCAATCCCTGATGAACAGATCTACACAATGATCAGAAATGAATCTGGTACAGCTGCTATATGTCACTAACAATTTATAGAAAACACAGAAGACCGAAGAACATGTTGAGAGCAAAATTCACACTCTACTAATATATGTAAGACAGAGAACTCATGTTTTTTAAAAATCAAATAAACTATAAGAAACAAGAAAAAGAGTGGGGGAAGGGGGACAGGGAGAGTGGAACACCCACAGAACAGAATACATGTAAGAGGCAACCAACCGGAATGTATGGACCTTATTTGTATCCCAATTAAAACAAACTGTAAAAGTAAAAAAAAATTCATGATACTACTACACTCATGAAACCCATTAGAATAGCTAAAATGAAGAAACCAACAATATCAAAAGTTTGCAAGCACGTGGAATAATCAGAACTCTCATTCATTGCTGGCACAGGTGTAAAATACTACAGCCACTTAGGAAACTTGACAGTTTCTTAAAAGTTAAATATGAATAATCACCTATTCTATGGCCTAGCAATTCCACTCCTAAGTATTTATCCAAGGACAAAAAATGTGTGTCCACAGAAAGCCTTATACAAGAAAAGTTCATAAAAGCTTGATTCATAATAGCATAAAACTAGGCAAAGCCCAGGTGCCCATCAACAAGAGAATGAACAGTGTCATATTCATACCACAGAATATTACTCAACAAAAAGGAATGAATTACTACATATAACATGAATACATCTCAAAAACATGCTGAAAGAAACCAGAAACAAGAGTACATGCAGTATGAATCCATTTATATGCAGTTCTAGAATATGCAAAACTGATCTATGGTGATAAAAATCAGAACAGGAATTATTTTCAGGGGTAGAGAAGGGAGCAGAGATATTTTTAAAAAGCTTTTATGACATGACTGGGGAATAAAGAAAAGTGACTTGAATTAAATTTTAGAGAGATCTAGTAAAACATTTATAGATGAAATAAGATGTCTGGGGAATTTGCTTCAAAATAATCTGGAGAAGTGGGGGTTTAGATGAAACAAGATAGGCTAGGAGTTGATAATTTTAAGAGCTAGTAACAAGTATATGGGACTTCATTACACTATACGTGGTAGTTGGGTTACAATGGTAGCCCCCTATTAACTTCTAGAATTCACATCCTGGTGCAGTCCTGTCCCATTTAATATGGGCTGGACCTGTGACTTGCTTAAGGCCTGGCAGCTTCTATTTTTGTGGTTTTGGGAGCCCTGAACCACCACCATGTATGAAACCTAGCCTCCTTGCTGGAAAGACCATGTGGAGAGGCCTTGGGGGAGGGGAGGGGCAGCCAAGGCTACCTGGAGAAGAACCAGTTAGTTAAAATGTTCCCGCTGGGGGCACCTGGATGGCTCAGTGAGTTAAGTGGCCAACTCTTGGTTTCGGCTCAGGTCATGATCTCAGGGTTGTGAGATCAAGCCCCGCACTGGGCTCTGTGCTCAGCACAGAGTCTGCTTCAGATACTCTCCCTCTGCCTCCAGCTTGTAGGCTTTCTCAAATAAATAAAACCATTAAAAAAAAAATGTTCCAGGGGTCTCCCAACCAATTCAAGCCATTCTGAGGTACCAGCGGTGTGAAAAAAGCCCTGTGGACTTCTAACCTCCGCACATCATATGGGCATGAAAGCCACCCTCACTGTGCCCAATCTGAATTCCTGACCTACAGAACTATGGGAGACAAAAAAATAGTTGG